GGGCGACAGAGTGAGACTCCAACTCAAAAAAAAAAAAAAGAATACTGACTAGGCTGGATTCAGTGGCTTATACCCGTAATTCCAGCACTTTGGGAGGCAGAGTCACAAGGCTCACTTGAAGCTAGAAGTTTGATTGAGACCAGCCTGGGCAACATGGTGAGACTCCATCTCCTTTTATTTTTATTTTTTGTGGGGGGGTTGGAGTCTCACTCTTTTGCCCAGACTGGAGTGCAGTGGCATGCTCATGGTCACCCCAGTGTCAACCCGCTGGGCTCTGGCAATTCTTCCAACTGAAATTTCCAAGTAGCTGGAACTATGGGTGTGTGCTACTGTGCCTGGCTAATTTTTTTTTTAACTGTAGAGACGAGGGTCTCGCCAAGTTGCCTGGGTTGATCTCGAACCCACAGGCTAAGACAATCCACTCGCCTCGGCTTCCCAATGTGCTGGATTACAGACTGAGTTACCGAGCCTGACCGAGATTCCATCTCTTAAAAAAAAAATTAAGACTATACTTTCAGGGATCATTTCTATAGTTTGTTACTAGAGAAGTTTCTCTGATCGTGTAGAGCACCGGAAACCACGAGAGTGGTTTCTGTTCCATTCTGGGAGTGGGAACAGAAAGCGCAAAGGCTCAGGAGTCACAGCGTTTTCTCCTGAGCGTGAAGCCAGCATTTGGTGTTGTTTTCGTTGCAACTGCCATCTGCTATTGATGATCGTTCTTACTCTTCTCAGGGAGAGTTAGAGGGAGAGAATGCATTCTGAGTGGAAAAAAAAAATTACTGGAGCACGGTGTCACACGCCTGTAATCCCAGCTACTTGGGAGGCTGAGGCAGGAGGACTGCTTGAGCCCTGAGCCCAGGACTTCAAAGTTACAGTGAGCTATGATGGAGTTACTGCACTCTAGCCTGTGTGACAGAGCAAGACCTTATTTCTACAAAAAGAGAATACTGGCTAATTATTTCGTATCTTGTTCCTCTTTTTAAGTTTCCTGAGGTCTGGCGTTTCCTTATGAATGAATTTAGGTTATGTACTTTTGGGCAAGAATACACAGAAATATTGCTGGGTTCTTCTCAGGAAAGCATATCCGGAGGCAAGCACATGGTATCAACTTGTCCCATTAGTATCGTGTTAACTGGATCACATGTACTTTTTTTTTTTTTTTTTGAGTCGGAGTCTCATTCTGTCACCCAGGCTGGAGTGTAGTGGCATGCTCATGGCCATTCCAGCATTGACTTGCTGGGCTCTGGCTATCCCTCTGCCTCAGTCTTCCAGTAGCTGGACCTACAGGTGTGTGCTGGCATACCCAGCTAATTTTTTGATTTATTATAGAGACAAGGTCTTGCCAATTTGCCCACGCTAGTCTTGAACCCCTGGACTCAGGCAATCCTCTTGCCTCAGCCTCCCAAAGTGCTGGGATTACAGACATGAGCCACCACGCCTGACTTTTTTTTTTTTTTTGGTTGGAGTCTCACTCTGCCACCTAGGCTGAAGTGCAGTGGCATGCTCACAACCACCATAGCCTTGACCTGCTGGGCTCAGGTGATTCTTCTGCCTCAGCCTTCCAAGTAGCTGGAACTGCAGGTGCGCGCTACCACGCCTGGCTAATTTTTGATTAATCATAGAGATGAGGTCTCACCAAGTTGCCCAGGCTGGTCTCAAACCTGTGGGCTTAGGCAATCCTCTCACCTCGGTGTCCCAAAGTGCCAGAATTATAGGTGTGAGCTACCGCGCCTGGCCACTGGCCACATGTACTTTCTTTATTATGGCTATGGAATCTGTCATTTGTCCAAGGAGTCTTGGTTCTTTTTTTCTTTTTTTTGGAGAAACCAAGATCTGAGTGCACAGTGTGCTCACTGCTGCTGGGCTGCCATTGCTTTTAGGCCTCTCAGCAGACCAAGTCAGGAAATATGCAGCTTCTGAACTAACAAAGTTTTTGTTTCAGTCAGTGAGATAGCCCAAAAACAGGTAAACAAATACAGAGGGAGGGTAACTTCAGACAGTAGCAAGTGCTGTAAAGGAAATAAAACAGGGGCATGCGGAAGAAAGTGACTGGAGGGTTACTCTGGTTACAATATTCAGGGAAAGCCTCTCTGAGGATGTAACACGTGAGCCAAGACCTAAAGGATCAAAAGGGACTGGGCACAAGAAAATCCAAAGGGAAGAGCATTCTGGGAGTGGGAACAGAAAGCGCAAAGGCTCAGAGATGGGAGTGAACTTGGCAAAGCTACACAGAATTGTGTCCAACCTACTGATAAATTTGTCCGTTGATAAACTTGGGCTCCAGACATCAGTTAAACAAACACTTACCAGACCGGATTCATGTTACAGTGCAGTAAAAATTTAAAACCTCAGACATTTCTCTGTAAACATTCAACATGTCTCATTTGGTTAGGAGGAATTTTCCTCAATTCTAATCCATGGGGTTCCAATGTCCCAGCCTTTCTCTGCCAGGAAGGGAAATTGAGCTGGAAAGTTAACTGTCTAAGACAGGTAAGTACCTGGCTCCACTCTGAACTTCACCATTCATCAGTGAAGCCCGCTAGACACTTGGCAGGAAATGGTGAAAATAACATTCGCCTGTGTGTCTAAGGGTGCCATATGCATTTTGGGTTGAGTGATATCCAAAAGCAGCTGGGAAAATTCCAATTATATCAGGCACCTCTTTCTTCTCTCTGACTGTGGCTAGTCACATAGGAAGTTGCATGGACACCTTATTGCACCCTGAGTTAGCTCTGTTCTGAAAAAACATATTACTGAAGACATAAACACACAGAAAAAGCAACAGGAAAGCAGCTTGAGAAAGTGGTTAGACCACCATATTGGACCTCACAGGATCTGGGTTCAAGGCCCAGCTTAGCCACTAGCTGAATCAGCCATCTCCTTTTTTTTGAGTTGGAGTCTCACTCTGTCGCCCAGACTGGAGTGCAGTGGACACTCCCGGCCACCACAGCCTCGCCTGCTGGGCTCCGGTGATCCTTCCACCTCAACCTTCCAAGTAGCTGGAATTACAGGCATGTGCTACCATGCCCGGCTGATTTTTTGATTTATTGTAGAGATGAGGTCTCACTGCCCAGGCGGGTCTCGAACCCGCGGGCTCAGGCAATCCACTCACCTCAGCCTCCCAAAGGTGCGGGATTACAGGCTGAGCCACCGAGCCCAGCAGCCATCTCCTTTTATAAAAATTTACACCATGGCCGGGTGCGGTGGCTCACACCTATAATCCCGGCACTTTGGGAGGCCAAGGTGAGAGGATTGCCTGAGCACACAGGTTTGAGATCTGCCTGGACAACTTGATGAGGCCTCATCTCTACAAGAAATTTAAAAAAAAAATTAGCCAGGCATGGTGGCATGTGCCTGTAGTTCCAGCTACTTGGAAGGCTGAGGCAGAAGGATCGCCTGAGCCCAGCAGGTCAAGGCTGCAGCAGCCGTGAGCATGCCACTGCACTCTAGCCTGGGTGACAGAGCGAGACTCCAACTCAAAAAAAGAAAAATACAGATGTCTAGATTGTGTTCCAGATTGATTCAAAATCTCTGACCGAAGATTCGATTGGTGTCGTGGAAAACTCCAGCAATTTCTCCTGTCCAGCCAGGTTTGTGAATGAATGTGCTCAAATTTTAAGCAACTTACTGTGAAGGCTCTGAGTCAGCAGGTCTGGGCTGGGGCCTGAGAGTCTGCATTTCCATCCCACTCCCAGGGGACATCTGAGGGCCAAGACTGGCCAAGGTGTACCTTTGGGGGTGGAGGCGGGGTGGGGGCACTGAAACATCCCAGTGCTATTAGTGAGGAGGAAAGAGCATGGATGTCATGAAGACCTGCTGCGGATGAGGCAACCCCACTCCCAAAGAACTAAGTGTCCAAAGAACTAAGGTTTAGGGTAAGGTCAGATAAAACAGAAGCACACACAGAGGCAGGCACACAAACGCAGAGGCTCAGACATCTGTTCCCAAGCCCCTGACAGGCCAGGAGTACTAAGTTTACCTGAGTCTTGGACTTCAGAGTCAGGTCTGAGGACCCAAGCATGGGCTCAGTTTGCTTGTTCTTACGTCACCCAGGGACCTGCTTCTTTGGAGAAGCCGGTACACCCTGCTCCTCTGCCCGCAGACACCATGGAGACTGATAATGGGGCTTCCAGCTGGCTCAGTTACCCAGATGAGAAGTTGGCAGGGGGAGCCCAACTCCGACAGAGATTAATGACTCCATTATCTTCCCAGGCAATCATCCTTCGCGGGCTGTCCGGAATGTAGATATAAGGTGTAAATAAAGTCCTTATTTAGAGGGAGCACGTTTTTCATTGTCTTCAGATGGGAATTTGCCCCCAGAAACCCTTGGCTCAAATCCAGGAGTGTCTTTGGCAGAATGACTTGGTCAATTTCCAGGCATGGGACAGGTCTTCTGAATGCTGGGGGCAAAAACCTTAAGGCTTTTCTTCTTCTTCTTTTTTTTTTTTTGAGTCAGGGTCTCGCTCTGTCTCCCAAGCTGAAGTGCTGTGGCATGATCACAGTAGTTCCCTGCAGCCTCTATCTCCTGAGGTCAGGGACCTTCCGTCTCAGCCTCCCAAGTAGTTGGGACTGAGTATAGCCATGCGCTATAATGCCTGGCTAGTTTTTGATTTTTTGTAGAGATGGGTTCTTGCTATGTTGCCCAGGCTGGTCTTGAACTCTTGGGTTCAAGCAGTCCTCCCATCTAGGCCTCCCAAAGTGCTGGGATTTGAGTCACCATGCCTGGACTGCTTTTTTTCATGAAGTAATACATGCTTGTTGTTTATGACTTATACTAGAATGCTGTGTGTAAGTTAACAGGTGACAGCTCTTATCTCCTTTACTACTCTTTGAAGGTAACTGTTATATTTGGTGTGCGCTTTTTCAAATGTCTACCTTTCTTTGTATTTTATTTTTGTGGGGTTTTTTTTTTGTTGTTGTTCATTGAGTTGGGGCCTCGCTCTGTCATCCAGGCTGTAGTGCAGTGGCACAATCATGGCTCACTGCAACCTCGACCTCCTGGACTCAGGCAATCCTCCCACCTTAGCCTCCCAGGTAGATGGAACTACAGGTGCATCTGATGAGCCATGCCTAGCTCATTGTTTTGATTTTTTTTCTGTAGACATGAGGTCTCACTATGTTGCCCAGGCTGGTCTTGAACTCCTAGGCTCAAGAGATCCTCCCACCTTGGTATCAAAGTGCTGGGATTACTGTTCTTTTTTTTAAGGTTCAGTTTTTTTCCAAATTTATTGAGGGGTAATTTAAGCATGCAACTTGGCACATATTTAAAGTGTATAATTTGATCACTCTTAACATACACCCAGGACACCATCTCCATGATTAGCATAGAGACATATTCGTCACCTCCAAAATTTTCCATGTGCCCCTTGACAATTCCTCCCTCGTGTTTCCTCCACCGCTGAATGACTTCTGTCCGAGTTTGCATTTTCTAGATTTCATCTACAGCATGGAAGTATGTATACTTTTGCCTGTCTTCTCTCACTCAGTGCAATGATTTTGAGATTCATCTACGCTGTAGATATCAGCATTCTGTTCCCTTTTATTGCTAAGTTGTATCCCATGGTATGGCTATGTCACTTGCTACCTATCCACTCACCTGTGGATGCAGTTTATAGGTGGTTGCTAGTTTTTGGTGATTGCAAATAAAGCTGCTCTGGACATTTGTGCAGAAATCTTGGTGTGGATAATTCATGCTTAGTTTTTTTTCGAGTTGGAGTCTCAGGCTAGAGGGCAGTAGCGTGCTCACAGCCACCGCAGCCTTGACCTGCTGGGTTCCGGCGATCCTTCCACCTCAGCCTTCCAAGTAGCTGGAACCACAGGTGTGCACCACCACGCCCGGCTCAGTTTTTGATTTCTTGTAGACAAGATCTGGCCAAGTTCCCCAGGCTGGTCTTGAACCCATGGGCTCAGGCAATCTTCTTGCCTCTGCATCCCAAGGTGTTGGGATTACAGGTATGAGCCACTGCGTCTTGTTCATGTTTTAGTTTCTCTTGAGCACATGCCTAGGAGTGGAATGGCTGGGTCTTGTCACATGGTAGATACACGTTTAACTTTTCAAGAATCTGCCAGACTGTTTTCCAAAGCGGTTTCCTTCCCAAAGCAGCAGCAGTGGGTGAGCGTTCTGTGCGCTCCATGTCCTCGCTGATGCTTGATGATCCGTCTTTCTAATTTTAGTCGTTCTAGTGGGTGTGAAGTGGTAGCTCTTTGTGATTTCAACTTGCCTTTCCCTAATGACTAATGCTGTTGAGCATCTTTTTATGTGCATATTGGCCATTTGCATATATTCTTCTGTGAAGTGTCTGTTCCAAAATTTGTTGTCCTTTCTCTTTTTTTTTGAGTTGGGGTCTCACTCTGTCACCTAGGCTGGAGTGCAGTCACATGATCATGGCTCACCATAGCCCCAACCTGCTAGGCTCAGGCAATCCTTCCGCCTCAGCCTTCCAAGTAGCTGGAACCACAGGCGAGTGCTACGACACCCAGCTAATTTTTCGAGTTATTGTAGAGACGAGGTCTCACCACATTACGCAGGCTGGTCTCAAACTCCTGGGCTCAGACAATCCTCCCGCCTCTGCCTCCCAAAGTGCTGGGATCACAGGCATGAGCCACTGTGCCTGGCCTGCTATACTTTCTCTGGGCTGTTTGCTGTTTGTTTTATTACTGAATAGTGAGAGTTTTTATGTATGTGCTAAGTGCTACATTTTAGGTACAGTGTGGCCTTTAAACAGTAGTGATTACTTTTATTGGGGTCAGGGAGGGGCTGGGCTCTGGAAGCCTTTGTGGGGATGCTGAGCTCCAAGCTAAGTCCCTGTAGTAGATGGTGGTTGTTTCTTTCTGCCTGGTATTTACGCCCTTTCTGATAACAATTCACCCCAATATTTTTTTGGGAACCATTCTTCCACCATTCTCAGTCCTTGAGGTTAGAGTGAAGTGTCCCTAGACCCTGGTTCCTGGGCAGGGCCATGGCCTTAGCCTGGCTGATCGGCAGTTTTCATCTTCCTGGCTCCAGTGACGGGTTTAGGGATGTGCGTATCACCCAGATGGGTCCGGTGGGGTTCAGCTTTAAGACTTACTGGAGTGACTTTGCACTGGTCTCAGCTTAAATGTCACCTTCTCAGAGAAGCCATCCCTGACTTGCAGAAGAGATGTGGTACCTCTGATGTGCACACACATCTCCCTGGATCTTCCCCACAGGGCACTTAGCACAGCTGTTAACTGTTGTGCGATGATCTGTGTAACATACTGCTCCCCCCTAGACTGTAAGCTTCATGAGGCCAGGGGCTGCGGGTTTTGTTCATCCTGTAATTCCCAGCATCCCTAGAGTGTGGCTATATTTTGAAGGTGGAGAGGACAGGATTTACTGAGGAATTGGATGCTGGATGTGGGAGAATAGAAAGCTGGGACTTAATCAATATTTGCTGAGTGAATGAAGGAAACTATATTTGTACACAAGAAAGTGGAGGCCCAGAGAGGTGAAGTGACTTGTCCCGAATCACACAGCAAGTCACCAGCAGAGCTGAAATTTGAATTCACGACTGTCCGACTTCAGAGCGTGTGCTCTCCCGCACCGCCCTGTGCGCTCTCTCGCAAACCCAACAGAACCCAACATTTTCATAACAAATACTTCTTAGGCATGGAGGATGCATCTGTGGAACAAACTATGTTTGTTGTCTATTGCTTTGTCAACAATTATCTCCCAGACACAGTGGCTTGAAGCAACAAGCTTTATGAACTTATGGCTTCTGCAGGTTGTGACCACGTGTGGCTCAACTGGGTCCTCTGCTTTGGAGCCTCTCACAGGCTGGGGTCCAAGTATCTGCCGGGGCTGCAGGCTCATTTCAAGGCTCAACTGGGGAAGGATCTGCTTAGGGAAGGATTGCTTCCCAGCTCACTCTCCTGGTGTTGGGAAGATTCTGTTCCCTGGGGGCTGTGGTTGACCTCAGTTCCTGACTACGTTCCACTGGGTAGCTCATGGCATGGCAGCTGGTTTCATCAGAGGAGTGGGTGAGAAGGCAAACGCAGGCAGAACAAAGTCATGGTATTTTGTAGCCCAATCACGGAAGGGGTAGCCCGTCATGTTTCCCTTATTCTGTTCATTAGAGTCAAGTCCCTAGGACCAGCCCATGCTTGAGGGAAGGAGCGTACATCAGTGAAAACACATGGGTATGCATGCAGGTTGGTGGGAGCCATCTTGGAAGCCTGCCTGCCTCATGAGGGAGAGACTTGGAAGTCTCTCCCTCATGTAACTTCAATTCTAGTTGGGGGGACTGCTCACAAAGCAAGCAAAGAAATGAAGATAGTAGCCAGGCTCGGTGGCTCAGCCTGTAATCCCAGCGCTTTGGGAGGCCGAGATGAGTGGATTGCCTGAGCTTGCGGGTTCAAGACCTGCCTGGGCAACTTGGTGAGACCTCATCTCTACAATAAATAAAAAAATCAGCCAGGCGTGGTAGCGCATGCCTGTAATTCTGGCTACTCAGAAGGCTGAGCCCAGCAGGTCGAGGCTGTGGTGGCCGGGAGTGGCTATTGCACTCTAGTCTGGGCGACAGAGTGAGACTCCAACTCAAAAAAAAAAAAAAGAAGATAGAACATGGGTGATACTAAAGTGTTTGAGAAAAGCATGGGAGGGGCGGTTAGGGAGTTCTGGGGGTGAGAGATGAAACATTCTTTTTTTTTTTTTTTTTTAGATGGAGTCTCTCTCTGTCACCCAAGCTGAAGTGCTGTGGCATGCTCATGACCACTGCAGTCCCGACCTGTTGGGCTCAGGTAATTCTTCCACCTCAGTCTCCAGAATAACTGGAACTACAGGCATGCACCACCATGCCTGGCTAATTTTTTGTTTTACTGTAGAGACGAGGTCTCCCCAAGTTGCCCAGGCTGGTCTGGAAGCACTGGGCTCAGGCAATCCTCTTGTCTCTGCCTTCCAAAGTGCTGGGATGACAGCTCATTTTTTTTTTTTTTGTAGAGATGCAGTCTTGCTATGTTGCCCAGGCTGGTCTCAAACTCCTGACCTCAAGCAATCCTCCCTCCTTGGCCTCCCAAAGCACTGGGATGATAGGCGAGAGCCACGTGCCTGGCCAAAGCATTCTTATTTTACATCAGATGGTCCACAGAGGGCCTCGGTGAGAAGGAGATATTTGAATACAGAGCTGAAGGAAACAAACCAACAAGCTGGAGGATACATGGGGAAACAGCATCCCAGGCAGCAAGCAGCAAAGTGCAAAAACCCTGAGGCACAAACCTGTCTGGTGTGTT